CCCGAAAACCAGCCGTTACCAACGGTCTGCACCGACGTCTGTTGCCGAAAAAAGGTAAAAACATTTTCCTCCGGGAAAGACCGCTGCTAGCTTTTAGCGGTGTTACTGCTGCGGCCTATGCCACGGCATAGATCTCTTACTCCCCCTAAAAATCAGTGCATTCAAGCATGTAATGCACGCTTCCATTACTAAGCGCACACAGTATAAAATCACTTCGCAGTCAGGTTAACCCGGGTTAACAAAGGCAATGATTGCTAGCTTCCTGTAGATAAACGTCTTGCTAAGAAATGCTATCACCAGTCATTTTTGTCCCTGTCTTGAGACCTTCTAACACAACCGTCTTGAAATGAAGCATACGCTACCAGCGACTGAAGCTTTGGGCTCAAGCAGAACAAAATGCCAAAGGACGTTTGGATCGTGTCTGCCAATGCAGAGAGAATCCGTAGGCTAGGGTATGAACGAATCTTTTAAGACTCATTTCACTGTATATCACCAGGCACAATTTTATAATTTAAAAAAATAGACCTTCAGATAACAACAGTCCAGAAAAGAGATACGGTCAAAAAAACCTGGAAGCTCCCTGACCGCACTGACATCAAGGCATACCAAATAAAGAATTTAGGCCTTCACAATTTCCCCCCAACTGCTTAGTCGTGGCAGATTCTATGAGGTAAATCACCATAGTCATAAAGACATTAAAAAGGCTTACATATATAAATTCAATTTTAAACCTAAGCTCTTTGCACTTTGAGCTAAATTGAAATTCTGTACTGGTAGGGTGTTCCAATCTTGATGGACAGAACACATTCTGAAGTGCGGCATTGCTGATGAGTTTCAAAAGACGTTCCTTGGAGTCATCCTCAGCTGAATGAAAGATGAGAATTAGGACAGGCCGTAAGGGTGACAAACAATACAAATGGTAAGTGCAACAAATTCTTATGCTGCAGGCCCAGCTACTCAGCAAGTCACACATACTCTACATTTCAGAACTGTAGAAGATCCTTCAGTTTATGAAGCATTGGAAACATTACAAATATATAAGGACCTGTAAAGGATTCAGCAGTAGACTCCCACCTATTGTCCATCTGTTCTCCTACCTACTCCTCTCCTCTCCACACAGTCCACTGAAATTAAGTAACTGTCTTGCTTGTATGAATGCTAACAAACAGAAATAAAACTCATCTGAAAACTTCAGGTGGGCAAGAAAACCCTATAGCAAACCTGTGGCAATTTCCAAAGCAGAAAGCAATATATTGGTCTTGTGTAATTATGTTAGGTAGTTATGGCAATGGCTTACTGTGACTTACCATGGTATGCTTACAACGTTTGTACCCAAACTTCGTACCTCTTAATGCATGACTCAGCTACAGTCCAGCCACTTCTTCTTGATGTTGTTTGGCAGAATCCCAGACAGAGGTAGGACTAGTATCTACCGATATAAAAATCAAGATGTGGAAACTCTGCACATATTGACTCTAGAAGAAGCACTCCTGAAATGTAGATAATAGCCAAAATGGCACCATATCCCCAAATGTAATTAAAAATTACTGACTGCTACATAATGAAAACTGGTCATATGGTTTGTGATATAAAAGAGAATATAAAAATCTACTAATTATGTCATAGTAAAATGACCAGGAAAATACAGACAAGAAACAAACAAACAAACAAGACCAAGTTAAAATCACCCACCCATTTGAATTAATTTGGAAATTAACCGAAAGGAATTAAATCAAAGAATTGATGGGGAAAAAAAAAAAAAAAAAGAAAGAAGTGTAGAGCTGGGGGATGGTCACATTTTACTTAGCTAAGCTTTCTGACTTTTCTTAAATTGTAACCCAATATAGAATGACTGTGGTACTCCAATCTGGAAATTAAGAAATAGGTATTCATCCTCCCAGTTGTTACCCAACAGCAGTTATGACCTCCCGACAACTTAGAGATAGAAACAGAGTATTCCTGGTTTGCCTTTTGGCTAATTGCTGATAGCTTTTGCTAAAGGGTCTTGGTGTACCCTTTACTGGCACTATAGTTGCCTCTATTTGTACAAATAAAGAAATTACAGTAGTTGTATTAACCAGCGTAATTAAAACTTAAAAAATACAACATCTGTAAATGGTCAAAAAGAAAGTGTATCAAGAAGGTTACTTCACACTCCAGTTGCCTTTTATAGGAATTCTTTCAGTTTCTTTGAATAGATGAGGTACTGGATAATGTGCCTGATTCCAGTCCTTCTACAGGCAAGGTGAGTCTAATGAGAATGGGAAATAGTACAGACCTCAAATGAACCATTGGTTTGCTCCATGTGCACTAGTTTTTTAATTATAATTATGTCGTGGTTTAACCCCAGCCAGCAACTAAGCACCACACAGCCGCTCACTCACTTCCCCCCCACCCAGTGGGATGGGGGAGAAAATCGGGATAAGTAAAACTCGTGGGTTGAGATAAGAACGGTTTAATAGAACAGAAAAGAAGAAAGTAATAATGATAACACTAATAAAATGACAACAGTAGTAATAAAAGGATTGAAATGTACAAATGATGCGCAGGGCAATTGCTCACCACCCACCGACCGACACCCAGCCAGTCCCCGAGCCGCGATTCCCCCCCCCCCCCCCCCCCCCCCCTTCCCAGTTCCTAAACTAGATGGGACATCCCATGGTATGGAATACAGTTGGCCAGTTTGGGTCAGGTGCCCTGGCTGGGCATGAGAAGCTGAAAAATCCTTGACTATAGTCTAAACACTACTGAGCAACAACTGAAAACATCAGTGTTACCAACATTCTTCACATACTGAACTCAAAACATAGCACTGTACCAGCTACTAGGAAGACAATTAACTCTATCCCAGCTGAAACCAGGACAAATTACCTCCTGACTCTTTTGTGCTCTGGTTTGCAGATTCAAACATCTTACTTCATGTGTTATGAGCTTATCCTTCTCAAAGGGCTTTTCTGTAGTCTGGTTTTTTTAACATGTAAGAAAGAACAAAAATGGTTTTCTGTATCATTTTCTCATCTATTGCTCCTTTCCTTTTGCTCTATGCTAAGTATCTCAGGGGAGCTTAAGGCCAACTGCACCATCTGTACTGCAGATGCTGTCCCATCTCATGATGTACCCTGGAATTCATGTATGACTCTGAGGAGACTAGACATACACATTCCATTTATCCCCAAGCTGCATACTAACATAAAGCCAGGAATGCACATAAAGAAGAGCAACAAAGGGGAGAAACAAAATTTCTAGGCAGCAAAGAGATTTAGACAAACTGGAAGCGTTATCTATAGACACTATGCATCTTATCCTTTTTGTTCAGAAGTTGATCATGAACAGATAACTTGTGTTAAATTAATTTCCATTCTTAATTCTCTGAATAAGAGTTTCAATCAACCTATTTGGATTTAAATGTTCCTAGAAAGCACTCATAATCAAATCACTGGAGCAGTAAATCTACTGAGAAGTAGAAGTAAGTATTTTAGGGGGAGTAGGAGACAGCAGACAATAAAGAAATATCCGATGACACAATGCATCTGTTGTCTGTGCTGTCATTACTTCTTGCCAAAAAATAATGGCTTAACGTATCTCCTCTCCATCTCTGCTTCTGATGAAAATCTAGTACTTACTGAGCAGCCTAAGAATGTAACTAGATCAGATCAAAGGTCTCACCAATTAGCTTTCCTTTGACAGAGATGAACAGCAGAAGGCTAAAGAAGAGTTTAGAGCAGGGTATTGCAGTATTTCCTCAGTAAGGAATCCCGTAAGATTCCAACAGCTCATGACCAGCAACCTTGAGCATCTAGCCCTGTTACAGTCCCGGTGTTTTTAATAATCTGTGACATGCTTTCTGTCATGAATTTGCCTTATTCGACTCTCTGAACACATGCAGACTTCTGTTATCTATATTATATTGTGCCAGTGAATTTCAGACTTTAACTAAATATTGCATGGAAAAGAACATCACAAAAAGTACCTCCAAAAAATATTTTAAATTAAAAAATGTAACTTTACAAGCCAAACTCTGCCAGGAATTAGTTGTGTGTGGTTTTAACTAAGCTCTGGCATTTGTTTGAGAAGAATTTGCATGATGTTGAAATTAAGAATCTTCTCCCATCTGAACCACTATATGGAAATGCTTGTAATAAAAAGCCTAGAATTGCTGAAATACTGTGTTTCTCTGTAGGTAGCTCTGCAGACCAAATGATGCACTGTAACGTAATGTAAAAAAAAGAGATTACTTAGTGACTTACTCAATTTATATCATGTAAATGATAGCAGAATAGGATATCTCATGTTGAATGTTACACACAACTGCTCCAAGGCAATCATTATGCCACAATATGAATACATTAACTTTTGATAATTTCTAGTATCTTTCAATGTATAGTATCTACAGTTATCTGAAATTAACTTTTTTAAACATGCTACTTCAGAAAAGCAAACCCCAACAATTAAGCACTGTATAGCTATAGCAGAATATTTAATTCTACCAGAGAAATAACGTACCAGGGCTTGCTATGAAACATCATCTTTAGAACATTAAATACACATGCCACTTAACTTTCGAAGATGTACGTGAATGTGGTTAGCATTACAGGGCTGTACCTTTACTTGTCTACTTCATAATATACACCTCTTCACATTGTTGCTTCTCTACCTCCTTTGCCGGGACGAGTTTGCCGAGAGGCGGCGCCGTGCCATACCACTGTAAGCTAGTATGCTAAGAAAAAGCACACGCTTCCCTCCCAGTACAGTGCCTGTGGAGACGGATGGAGTACCCAGAGCCGCCAGGAACCCCGAAGCAGGAGTCATCCTGCCATCCTTTGGGAGACACGCTGCAGGACAGCGGACTACGAAGGCCCCAGAACAGAAAGCTCAGCACAAACCGTCCTGCTCCCTCCCTCAGGTCCGAAACGCAGCACCCTCGCTGCAGCTACGGGACAGGGCTTGTTCGCGGCTTTGCACACCGGAGACCCATCACAGGACTTTGCGAGGGAAACCCTCAACCCAGCGGGACCGACGGCAACATTAATACTGACAGGTACAATCGGATCGTGAGCTTATTTCATCGTCAACCTTTCTGTAGCGAAAAAGGAGAAACAGATCTCCGGGGCTTGCTGCTGCCGCCGCTGACGACTAGCACCTGGGGCCGCGTCCGTCCCAGCTAAGAGAGAGAAAGCCAGCTGCCCGGCGGAAAGGCCACCGTCCCGCAGGGGGCCCCCCATCCCCCAGAGGCCCCGCCGCCGCCGCTCACGATCCTCCCTGCAGGGTCCCCGCAGCAGAGACCTCCCCGCCTTCCCAGCAGGTGCCTCGGCCGACCTCCAGCCCTTCCGCCGGAAGCCGCGAAGCGCCGCGCGGAACGAGCAGCGGGCGGCAAAAGGCGGGCCCGGCCCGGCCCGGCCCGGCCG